TTTTTATTAAGTTCCTATTTTCTCTATGTATCACTGATGCAGTTTTTGAGTGTCATTAACCTAACTCCATTTTCTGCATAAGTTCTGTGGTTTTTATTGCATGGCTTTGCATGAGTGATTTTTATTAACATATATGTTACATTATAGCAGAGCTGACTGTATATGTATTTATGTGTAAGGATATGTATGTATATGTAAATAGCTATGCAATATGTGGGTGGAACTGGTTTGGTGAGTTTCTGATTGTGTGAGTGGGTGTATATATATATATGTATACATATATGTACACATACATACATATTATACACACACACACACATATGTTATTGGCATCCCAGGGAACCAAAAATTACTTCCTGCATTTTACCATTCATCTCCATCTGATGCTTCTTCCCTTGCTTCTCTCAGTGACAGGTTTAAGGGTGACAGCGGCCCATGAGAGAATTATGAGCCCTTCTCTGTAGGCCTGAGAAGCCTCCATTGTTCTTAGGCTGTTTTGAGTCCTTTACCAAAGCAGCCTCTTCAGGAAAAGGAAATAACAGCCCAGGGGCCCACAACAGGCTCCTTGTCATCTATAAATGGCAACATAGCAGTAGTTCTCACGGAGAGGGCATTGAAATGTCATATTTGGAAGGAAAATCTGACTTTATGCAGCACACTTGTTACATCCAAGGCAGTTAAATGTGTTTTGATTGATGAATTTTTGTAGCTTTGGTAGAAGCTATGTATACATGGTTCCCTAGTACATGGTCTGGGAATATAAACAAAACACCATCAGAAAAGGTAATTGTTTCGGGGGAAGATCTAAATATGTGTAGTTGGCTTTGAAATGAAAGTTGGCTTTGAACTTGACTTCCTCTGCTCCTCTCCATTGGCATGGATAACTGAGAATACACTAGAATCATTATTGTATTCAGAATTTTGTTAAACATAAATTTCCCAAACTCATTTCATATCTCTTGACCATGATCACATGTTGCTCCTCAATTTGAAAATAATGAACCATAATTTCTAATTTTCTGACTTTCTTCCTAGGAAAATCCACCTCATCTACCCCTACAGGTCACTTCCTGTTCTTCTCACATATTTTACTGAATCATTCTTGCTAAGCAGGTAGTATAGGCTATCACATGGCTTCTTGCCCCTTGTGCTCTCAAGGAAATGGCAGTTGAGTGTGTCAGGATCATCGGAAACCACTTTGCCAGGCTTGCTCTCTTTCCCCAAAATCAGACTCTGTTTATAAGGCTTCCCATTCCCTTTGAGTGTCTTCCCTTATAGAGTCTTTGGCACTTTATCCATAGGTGTTTCCACCACTAAGAGATGGCCATTTCCTCAGAAAAATACCAGAATGGGATCTGAGTTCACAGAATTCACACACTCATTTTTCTTGCTGGTGCCTTCCAACCTCCCCCAGGCTAGATGCAGCTGGACAGCTCCAATTACCCAAAGACTCAATTACTAGTAGTCCAAGGAGACAGAAGGAGTGTAAGAGGAAGAGATCCAAGATGAAGGAGAGGTTAACATTGAAAAAGGAGTTCCAAAAGGCACAGGAGGAGAATCAGGCAAGGGAGGCTAGGGATTGTGAGTTGGGGAGTGGAACTGGGCTGAACTGAATGGAGATGAAGGTATAGAGCTTGGTAGCAGTAGAATAGAGCTGGTGCCTAGACCACTGAGTCTGAATGACAGGAATTGGGGAGTGGGAAGTTAAGAAATGGCCTAGAGTGAAGTGTTATAGTAAAAGCATGTAGTCTCATTTAAAATATTGCTGTCATGGGGCTTCACCCAATCAGACCTCCCCCTCATTCACCTGTGAATAGGAGTATGGTGTCTTACTTCAGTAAGACAGAATGAAAGCTTCCTAAATTTCCCACTGTACTCTGTTTTAGAAGGCATGTAACTGTGTGGTACACTTTACAGTTATTTCTTTCCAAATGCTTAGATTTTTTAAATGTGCTTAAAGGAGTAAATTCTCAACTGTTCAAAAACCTTGCCTATCCAAAATGATGCCTTTTCTGAAGGTTCCTGTATAGCTGTGGTTTACTATAACTTTGTGGTGAATTTCTATATATTCCCTAAAAAACAAGAGCCGTGTCTCCTGTTTCTGAATGCCTATAGACAGTTTCTCTTCATTTTCCCAATTGAACTAGCTTTCGTAGGCTGTTAATTAGTTTTTAGGAAGATCTTGGAAATGATGGAAACAAAGCACATGTAAAGAGTGCTCTTTTATGGGCAGGGGCCCTGACAGTTAGCATGGAGGGCTCTCCAACCAGCTCATGCCCCTGCACTTGCTACGCTCCCTCTTGATATGGCATTGGATGGCAAATTCCTCTGTAATATTTTCTGTGGCTGGCAACCATCCTATTTACGTCTCTATAGTATAGGTATAGTCAGTTGTATTCTATGTTAGCTGCATTTCAGTGGATAAGAACTGGAAGTTATCTCAGCTGATACACTCCTGGGTGATTTTTGAAGACTGTGCCAGAAAGCCCTGATCTCTAGTAGACCCTACCAAGATGGAAGGGTTTTGAGTGTGGATCTTGGCAACTACGGTGTGCCTGTCAATTGAAAACCAAAGCACAGTGAAGCTTGTGACCCGAGAGTTGGCCATCAATGATTCTTTTGGAGGTAGCAGCTACTGCACCCACATTGATACGATTGTGGCTCTTTCAAATATGGCAAGCCATTTTGGCTGGAGGCTATGGAGAATGACAGACGAGAACATCTGAGCAATGAGAACAACCAAAGGGGCCTGCAAGCAGAAGACCCACTAATGCTACCAGTCAGATGGAGCTTTAGGAAAATGAAAAGGGTCTATGATGAATAACTGCTAACTCCCAGGAGCTTAGGAATGATGCAGGAGGCAGAGCTGCAGGACACATGGTTGACAACATCCCTGGGACAAGCAACCACCAACTGCATATATCTTGGATCTAGATCCACACTCAACATTTCAACAAAGCTTCCCTTTGTGGCCAAGACCTTAGGAAGTGATTTCATATACTTAACATTATTTTTACCCAGAACCATAAAGACAGAGATTGGTACTGGAGTCCTTATGAAGCCAGGTATAAAGATGAAATGGGTTCTGGGTTTTCATTTGGAAAATTGATAAAGCTGCTTGCTTTCAACTTTAATGAGTTGAAAAAATGTAAGCCCACTGGACTGGACAAAACAGGGGAAGCCCTGTTTTGTATGATGCTACATGCAGTACTGACATTCAATAAACAAGAAATTATAATAGAGTTTTCTAAATGGCTAATTTATTTAAATAGGAAGCACACTGGTAGGGATGCCGGATCTACAATTGTAAGTAGTTGATATCTAGGGAAACACTGGTATCTGGAACTTTTTAGGGACTATGGGATAATTGCATATTGCAGATTAACTTCATGTCTGAGAGACACATGGCTTTAGGTTTCTCACCCTTGGCTAGAGGTGAGTCATTTCATAGAAAAAGACTGCTTTGAGGTAAGAGAACTAAAAACCAACAGGGACAAAGAAAAGCAGTGGAGGAGAAGAAACAGAGACTACCTCCTGTTGTTTGAAGTGAGTTGAACTTAGCAGAGTTCAGCTGAATGGAGGACTCAGAGCCATGACTGCCTCCTGCTGCCTGATAGGAGCCAAGCCCTAAAAGCTATATGGATGACGCATAGAAAAGCCAAGAAAATGAGAGCTGAAAAAATAGCTTAGAATCTGCATTGCCCCTCCCCTCTTCTGAGCTGATGGGAGGAAGACAGACCTTGCATCTGTTGCTTGCAGCTGAGCTGAGGGAAGGAATTTTAAAAGTGTGTAATACTGCCGTAGGTCCCAATAAAAGAGCAGTTTGAATCAAGGAGCCAGCTCAAACCAACAGGTAACTAATTGTGCACACTGAATCCTAAGGAAAGTAAAAATAAATATATAAATAGAAAATAAAGGCCAGCTGCCTAGAGACACGAGCTGCCCCAGGCAGATGTGAAGTCCTTCCTCATGTGCCTCCTTGCTTGGTTTCTATAAGTGTGTTTTCACTCTCCCCATGGACATCAATGACCCAGGTGTATGTGTGAACTTATAGAATGTTATAATTATTTTTACTTTGCATTGTGTTTAGTGGTTTCATAATTAAGTTAATGAGGTTGTCCTCCTTACCAGAGCATAAACCTCAGCTTTCCTCCCAGGCTGTGTGAACAGAGGCCATGCCTTGGGGCCTGAGATAAACACATTGCCTCCCTCCCTCCTGGCTTGAGGACATGGGTCTCCCCTAAATTGGAAATATGCCTTGCCCTCCTCATTGGTTACCACTTGTCATCCCATGGTTGAGCCCTGATCTTAGTGAGATGCAACACACTTTCCAACAAGACCAGCCTGCTGGTCCCAGTCACCATCAGCTTTCATGACTATTACTAAGTGTCTTCCCCTCTCATAATTACCTTGTATTTGTGATATAGATAGATAGATAGATAAATAGATAGATATAATTATATTTAGTTATATCCAGCCCCCTATCCTTCCAATATTCTTACACCTTACTCCCAACACGTGCTGGATCAAGAGACACCCCATCTCTGGCAGTCTCTCATGCCTGAAACCTTTCCCTCCTCCTCCACTCCAACTATTGGCCCCTCTGGCCTCCTTTAAGTCCCAACTAAAATCCCACCTTCTACTTCTACAGGAAGTCTTCTTCAACCCTTCTTAATTCCAGGGGCTTAATTATCTCCTATTTATCCTGTTTATAGCTCGCCTTGAATATATGTCTTTGCATAGTGTCTCCCCTTTAGATCATAAACTCATTGACAGCAGGGACTGTCTTTTGCCTCTTTTTGTATTTTCAGTGCTTAGCACAGTGACTGGTACATAGTAGGCACTTAATAAATATTTAGCAATTTATTAATTTTTATATGCATACATATATGTATGTATGTACATATTGTTATATACATAGTTATATAGCAGTCCTCATTTTACATAAATTTGCATTATACAAATTCAACTTTACATAAAGAATTCTGAAAGAAATCCAAATGAGGATTCTGAATGAGGATCTGAATGAAGGAGCTGTTAGCTGCAAAGATTGCAGAAGAAGACATGGAGGCTTTGGAATCCACGGCCACACCAAAAATGCTGACAACAGAACAGTTGGCGGAAGCATTTCATTATTTGAGTGAATGTTTTTCTTGTATTGAAAAGATGCATCCAAATACTTCCATATTTCTAAAAGTTCAAAGGCTAGTTGAGGATAATATTGCTTGCTATCATCAGATATATGAAGGGAAAAAAGAAAGTCATTGTCCAAATATCTCTCCACAGCTTCATAAAAAATGTTACACAACCAACCACCAGTGATGAAGGCTGGGTGCAGTGGGTGGAGAAGGGGCAGCATACTGCACACCTCTGTTAACTTTGCTGTACAGTACTCAGCATACTTTATCATCAGCTTTACCTTTCATTTCATAATTCTGTTTATTATCATGTACAGCATTTAATATGACCACATTTTAATACATTTAATACATATTACTTTGTGTATACTTTTGTTACATAAGCTAACTGAGGTGAGTGGGTAGGGACAACTTTGCATTACATTAAAATTGTTTCATGCAGACGTCTGCAGAGTGCTCCACTTATGTAAAGCAAGAACTATCTGTATATATGATGTGTGTGTGTGTGTGTGTGTGTGTGTGTGTGTGTGTGTGTGTGTGAAAGCAGGACCTTTTTTTATGGAGCTATGAAGAGATATTTGGACAGTGACTTTTTTCCCCCTCATATATCTGACGAAAGCAAGCAACATTATCCTCAACTAGTCTTTGAACTTTTAAATCATGATGTGTATCATATACACACACAGACACACACACACACACATATATTATATACACAGACAGTTCTTGCTTTACATAAGTGCACCATTCTGTAGACTTCTACATAAAACAATTTTAATGTAATGCAAAGTTGTCCCTACCCACTCACTTCAGTTTCACTTCAGCAATTTCATTTTTACCTTGGTATTGATTCCCAGCACCTCTCACAGTGTCTGGCACACAGTAGGTGCCTAATATGTTCTTGTTGGTTGACTGAAAATATTCTATTTTTCTCTGCAAGTTGAGATGTGTTTCTCCTAACCTGTGAGGGTTGTTGTTGTTGTTGTTTGGGGGTTTTTTTTTGCCAAAAATAACAAATTCATGAGTACCTGTGCTTTCAAATTTTGTGTTCCTACTTGAAGGATCCATGATTTAATCCATCTGGGTACTTCTTCTGCCAGGATACCTCAGTCCTTTCGACTGCCATGGCCAAAAACGCAGGTCACCTTGGCCAGCCCTTTAACTGTGGAGACCATTGGTGTCAAAGTCAAATAGAAAAAGGAGCCACTAAACAATACATAAGGCTCCAGGCCACTCCCATATTGACTTACAAAACCACATATTAGCATTTTCTACATTTTATCATATTTGTATGCGTTAATATTTCCCAATTACATTTTAATCCCACTGGGGCTGCAAGTGTTGTGGGTTGCATGCAGGCTGCCCTCTGCATGTTTGACATCTCTAATGTAGACATTAATTACTTTCCTGATCATGTCTGCAAAACCTGAAGGAAAATGCAAGCGCCAGGGAACTGCTATTGCCTCAGTTATCCCATTCATGAAGCTTGTTCCATCTCTAACATTCTTTAAGAAAATAGCTCATGCTTACATGATGTTTTAAAAGTTTCCAAAGTACTGTCTTCACAACAACCCTGTCAGGTAGTAGAAGTATACTTCCCTGGCCTCAACTCCCAGAGCCAGGCAAACTACATTTCCTCCCTTCCGGTTCTAGGGTTATCCTGAGGGGCTAAGATACGTCTCCTCTACTGCTATTGAACTCCCATTCCAATGTGTCCTCCCTACTGTTAACATCAGTAATTAGCATTCCAGTTTCATTTAGCCAATTAATATCATTTATCCTTTAAGTAAAAAGATATCGACTGAAGAGAACGAAATACAAACACTTCCACCCAATGTCAAGGGGCACATCCTCTCCCACAACATCTTGGTCTCTGGGGTTAGTTGGCTCATACTTAATGCCTTTTCTGCATAGCTTTGGTCCCACCAAGTTCACATCCAAATCCAAAAAGCACTGCTACACGAGTCCTCTTCTCAGCTGCTCCTTGCTAGACTGGGTCCCCAAGGTCACTCCTTGCTCCTTGGGACATCAACGCTGAACTAGCTACAAGATTGGAATGGACTTGACTCCCAGACTCTCAAAACTTAGATTCTCAACGTTCTGACCTTTTGAAACTTCCATAATCACAACCAATTGTCTTCCCCCAAAACAAAAGAACAAATGCTAAAGGAAAGAACTGAGACTGTGATTCCCATGGCCACTTGTGACCTTTGAGGTGAGGACCTCGGGCCTCTCCTCTTACAGCACTGTATCTCATCAGACACCATTAGCCAAGAAGTCATCCAAAGGGAAGTCACACCCAGAGAGAAGCCAACATTTTGCTTGGCTAGCTTCTTGTGAATCACTCTCATTTCTGGCTATGCAGTCCTCATTAGGTGGTTAACAGACTGGAACCGGTTCCAGAATATCTATGCAAGCTCTAAAATCTCTCCAAGAGACTTTGAAACATCAAGAGTCTCCAGAAGTGAATTTCCCCAGCCTGTTCCCGGGAAACTGCATCACCGGCATCTCTGTATGCTTTTTGGGAGAGGGCAACTTGTTCGGTCCCCTATTACATGAACTCTCAGAGATTAAGTGACTTGCTCATGACCATATGATGTAGTAGGTGTCTGACGCAAGAATCTAATATGTATCTTTCCACAGAAAGTCCCACACTCTTTCCAATAGGCCACAAATTCCTCATTTGCAGATGAAGGAAACATTTCCAAAGAGGTTGTGACTTGCCCATGATCACCCAGGTAATTACTAGCAGCCCCAGGAGTAGAGAAACCAGCTCCCCTGACTCCTGGTTGGCTTCTCTTTTCATTATGCCACACAGATGTCAGGGAAGACACTTTGATTAGAACAATTTAAAAATTGGGACCTGCTTTCACAAAGTGGATGACAGGAGAACAGATAATAAACTAAAGTTCATTTCTCATGGCATAGAAGCTGGGGAAATGAGGGCCAAATACTGTAGATATTGTCAGGTTTGCTGCTCAACTGTTGCTACAAGAGAGGGTTCAGTCTGTGGAGGGTGTCTTTTTTCTTTAACGACTGTGATGTAAAATAAACAAAAAAAATACATCAATAAGATACATTTTTACTATTATTTAGAGGGTGAGGCAATTGGGGTTAAGTGAGTTGCCCAAGGTCACGCAGCTAGTAAGTGTCAAGTGTCTGAGGCCACATTTGAACTCAGGTCCAGAGCTTTATCCACTGCGCCACATAGCTGCCCCTTAATGTACATTTTTAAAAAGGGGATGGCACAGTGGATAGAACATCAGCCCTGGAGTCAGAAGGACCTGAGTTCACATCCAGCTGCAAAGACACTTACTAGCTGTGTGACCCCAGGCAAGTCACCTAACCCTAACTGCCTTAAAAAAAAAAAGTGGATGGTACATTATTCCTGAATTTCTTGCATATTGTGGTGTTCAGGGGTCCCCTTCCTGAAAGGGTAAGAGGCTTATATTATTGAGCCAGTAATCTTGTTAAACTGCCAAAAAAAAAGTTTAGTAAGCTGTCAGGTTTTTAATTTCCCTAGGCATTGGTCTAGTAAGCTGGTGCTATCACTGTGTCAAAAAGCATCAACACGATGACATGCTAATTACATGCCAATGACACGATAACACTTCACTGTGAAAACCACCAGCAGCAGCACCAGCTCCAGCACCACTGGTACCAAACCAGCAGCAGCATTACCAGCAGCAGAAGCAGCAAGGTCAGCAGCACCACCACTTCCACCAGCAGCACTACCTTCAAGCACAGCAACACAACCACATACCAACATGCCAATTACTCAGAGATATCACTGTGTCAACGTCAGCAACTTGATAATAACATGCCGATGACATACCAACACGCCAGCACTTTACTGTGAAAGCTAGCGACCACCACTAATTACATGCCAAGAACACATTCACACATTACTCTGAAAGCCACCAGCTCCACCACCCCCTCCACCACCATCAGCAGCTCCAGCATCAACACCCCCCCCCAAATACAACAGCATCAGGAAAAACAGCAGCCGCAGCAGCCCAGCACCACCAAGACCACTCCAGTATCTTTGCCAAGAAAACCCCACCTGAGGACATGGAGAGTTATACATGACTGAGACAACTGAACAACAAATGTTTCACTGTATCTGCATTTATATTGTTAATGATTTCTGAATTAATTGATTGATTTTAATCTGGTATGAATTTTGCAGTTGAGGAATTTCAGGTTAAGTGACTTGTCCAGGGTTATACAGCTAGTTAAGTGTCTGAGGCTGCACTTGAATTCAGGTCTTTCCTGACTCCAGGCACAGCCCTTGATACCCTGAGCCACCTAGCTGCCTCTCCTCACTTCTCTGGGCCTCAGTCTCCTCATATGTAAAAAGAGGCAGTTGAATTAGATTGCCTCTAAGGTCCCCTTCAACCACTACCATGCATGATGCATAATAGGTGCTTAATAGATTCTGGTTGTTTGATAAGAAAATGCCAGCTAAGTAAAGCATTAGGAGTCTGTTAGTTCCCTTCATTATGCATGAAGTTGGCAGCCCCTTTCCTCTGAACTGAATGAGATTTCCCTCCCTGCTCTAAAGTTCCATTGTATTTTTATTATTTCACTAATGGCACTTACCATAGTCTCTCTAGTATTGCCGTTGTTTTCTGAACTTACCTCGTCCCTTCTTCTATATGGTGAGTTCCATTAGTATTTATCTTTCTATCTCCCATAGCACTTAACACATTGCTTTGAACCTGATGGGCACTCAATAAATATTTACTGGCAGGGATATAGCTGCCTTCCACTAAAAGTCATTTTATTTGCAAGTCAATACATTCTTTCCAGATATTGATGTCAAGTTTACTGGTCTCTAATTTCTGGACTCATTCTTGCCCTCAACCATTTTTTAAAGATAAAAATATTTGTCCCTTTCAGTTGTTAGTGAATAACCCTATATTTATTGAGCACATATCATTTCAACCTGAATATAGATCTTCTTCCAAATCTGGGAGTATAAAACCTGAGGATAATTTATCTTTGGTGCTTCTTAATGTACTTCTTAATGGTTGTCTATTTTTCTCCCCTTTCACAACAAGATCTCATTTTCAGGCTGTGGCTTATATTTCAAGACAGCCAATGTTTAGACCAATATGTTGCTATAGGTTACACATTGTGTTGGGTGCTAGGGGGAATTAAAAGAGGTTTAAGGTATTAACCCTGCCTTTAATGAACTTAAAAGCCCACTTTCTCAAAAATAATGGGCTCATGATTCAGAAGTAGCATCCTTTAAATACCCTGGAACGAAGACCACCATTTCCCATTCATTTCGTGTGATTCCTTTATTTCTTTCTGAATTTTAATTTGGCTTTTCTCTCTTCCACTGCAACTAGGACTTGCTTTAGTCTACTACTCCCAGTATAGCATTTTGGATAATGAGTACTGGATACAGTAACAGAGGACCCAGATTAAAATTTTGCCTTGACTATTTACTATGTGCATGATTACAAAATTAAGGAACATGTATTTTTCACTCTTGAAAAATGTCAAAAATAGGATTCTTACTCACAGACTAATTTAGAAAGGTCCTTTTGTAACTTCCTGTGCTGTGCTTTATCAAGGAGTCAAACACTCTTACCACCATGCTGACAGGATTCCAGGATTCCAGGGCTTCATATGGAATTAAAATCTCTAGAATCTTTCTTTTACTGCAATTACTCCTGTGGAAAACAAGAGTGAGTCTTTCTGAGGCATCTTAAGAATTCGATTTATTTTTTTTCAACTTCTTTGCTCTCCCCTTGACTCCTTTCCCATGTTGAAAACTAAAAGCTTGTAGAAAGGTAGAGAGACATCTATCTGTTGCCCCCTCTGTTCTATTACCAACTCTTTCCAACAAGAAAGGAGTAAGTAATGTTCTGTTTTCTTTTCTTCTTAGTGTCAAAGTGACTTGCCCAGGGTCACACGGCCAGTAAGTGTCAAGTATCTTGAGGCCAGATTTGAAGTCATGTCCTCCTAACTCCAAGGCTGGAGCTCTATCTACTGCACCACTAGCCGCTGCTCCATTTTCTTTAAAGGCAGCAATCTCACCTGCTAATAGCAATTACCAACTGATGGTGAAATTTAAATCCTGAGGTGAAATATTCCTAAGACTCCCAAATATTTGTCATTGACTTATTTAACAAAACTCCAAGTCCATAAGACCAGTGGAGACAATACCCTGGAAAGCAGAGATGTGATGACCAGCAGAGATAATGCATAAATTGGAGAGAAGAAAGGCAGTACCCAGGAGAGAACAGTAGAGGGCAGCACAATGACATTATTATAAGTATGAGTTGCCCTGCCATATCTGCCTACTGGTCACGGATGTCCCCTTGGCCACATGGATTTAATGTGTTTGTCTAGGTATATGTGTTCCATGGATACATGCGTTCCCTATATGTATTCCACACAAGCACATTCACTGACATGTGTGCTCTCCTGTGCATGTGCCTACTCCTACCGAAGCCCTGGTGATTATAGAAGAGCATCCTCCCTTCACCACTTTTTAACTATTTCATTAATTTTTTTTTTAATCAGACTAACGTCTGTTAGTTTCTGTTTAGTTTCATCAGTGACTGATGGAACTAAATACATTGTTGAGGGCTTATAAGCTGTAGTTTTGACTGGGTGCTAAATTACAGAGTACTTCAAGCCTACAGTAGCTTTTCTGGCAGCCCATGTGGGAGGGTGACCAAGAAATTCCATAATTGGAGAGCAATTCCTTTGGATTAAGATGTTGTGCCTTGTAAATGTCATGCTTTCTCAATTTATTTACTTTTAACCGTATCAGTCATTTACCCCAGAGTATTAATGAATTTATCAGATTCTCTTTTAAAACAAGATACTGATAAGAAGAAGGGGAAATCCACAAGGAGGCTCTGAACAGCAAAAACTGTATCTTTCACAATTTTCCTTAGGATTCTCCTTGGTTATGTGTACAGATCAATTACAAAATATTTTAGTTCCTGACATCAAAATGTATTTTAATCCAAAGGCTAAAATGTTAGATAATTTAATACTTTCGATGCTTGACAAAAATTCAAATTATATAAGAAAACAATATATAGAATGACAATACAATATATAAAATTGCCAAGAAAACAATATATACAACGACTACAACAATAAAGTTACCAATGATCGCTTAACAAATCTAGGGCAGCTAGGTGACCCAGTAGATAAAACATTGGCCCTGGAGTTAGAAAGACCTGAATTCAAATCAGATCTCAGAAACTAACTACCTGTGTGATCCTGGGAAAGTCACTAAACCTCTGTTTGCCTCAGTTTCCTCAACTGTAAAGTGCATATAATAATAATACTTATCTCCCAGGGTTGTTGTGAGGACTAAATGAGATAATATTTGTAAAGTACTTGGCACAGTGCCCGGCACAATAGTAGGAGCTCAGTAAAAGCTTGTTTTCTTCCTTCTTTCCTCCCTTCCATCCTTCCTGCCTTCCTTAATGGCCTTTCCTCAATCCTCATCTTTTCTGACCTTTCTCTAGCTAGCCTCTGACACTGTCATTCACCATCTTTTCCATGATATTCTCTTCTCTCTAGGGTTTCATGACATTATTCTCCCTCTTTCTATCAGACTGTTTCAGCTTGGTCTCCTTTTGCTGGATCTTCATCCAGATCATGCCCACTAACCATAGGTGTCCCTCTCTGCCAACACTGTCCTGGGCCCTCTTCTCTTCTCCCTATGTATTATTTGGCTTGGTGCTCTCATCAGCTCCCATGGTCTTCATCCTCACTGCTGTGTGGATGATTCCCACATCTACTTATTCAGCCCGAACTTCTCTCTCCTTGACCTCTGATCTCACGTCACCAGTCACCTTCCGGATGTCTCAAACTAGATGTCTCATAGAAACCTGAAACTCAGCATGTCCAAAACTGAACTCATTCTCTTTCCCCTCAACCGCTTCCCTCTTCCTAACTTGCCTCTGACTGTCACAGGCACCACCATCCTTCCAGTCACCCAGGTTTGTGACCGAGGTTTCATCCTCAACTCTGCTTTCTCACTTCCCATATCCAGTGTGCTGCCAAGACTTGTCAATTCTATCTTAATAACATCTCTGCTTTATGCTCTCTTCTCTCCTCTGACACTGCCATCACCACGGTCCAGGTCCCCATCATTTCATGACTGGACTACTACAGTAGCCTGCTGGTTGTTCTCCCTGCTTCCACTCTCTCTCCACTTCAGTCAGTCTTCCATTCAGCTGTCTAAGTGATCTTTCTAAAGCCCGAGTCTATTCCTATCACCCCATTCAATAAACTCCACTGGCTACCCAGTTTGACATTCAAAGCCCTTCATAATCCACCCAGCCTTGCTACACCGTATTCCCCTCCACATACTCTGTAATCTAGTGACACCACCCTCCTTGCTGTTCCTCACAGATGACCCTCTACCCCACCGACTCTTCATTTTTACACACTGTCCCCCAAACCTGAAATGTTCTCCTGCTTCATCTCTGCCTCTTGGATGCCTTAATCCTTCACATCCTCTACAACAGGCCTTTCCTGATTCCTGTTAATACTGGTGCTAGATAATCTATTGAATATCTGCAATATATACTGTATACAACATATCCCAAAAGTCTTAGAGCAGTTTTAAGCCAGTAAAGACTAAAGAAAACCTTGTATATCTTAGAAGATACACAAGGTGTCCCAAAAGTCTTAGGCAGTTTCAAGCTATCACAGCTTAAAAAGGTGAAAACTACTCTAAGACTTTTAGGATACCCTATATACCTCGTTTGTACAAGTTGATTACACATTTGTCTCCTCCATTAGAACATGAGATCCTGACAGCAGGAACTGTCTTTTGCTTTTTTTTGTATCTCCAGCACTTAGCACAGTGCCTAACACACAACAGGCATTTAATAAATGCTTATTCACTTGATCTGACTTGACATGGGATGGGAAGGCCAACATGGCTTACAGTGACATCACAGATCCAGTGAGCCATAGAAATATTCTACAAGATCTACAATTTAAGCCCCATGAGAAAATGTCTTAGTAAATTGTCCCAAGGAGGTATAAACACCGATTAATTGCTCTTTAACTTTAAAACAAATAGGTTGTTCTAATAACAAAACCTCCACAGTAGTTCTTACTGCTGATCACAAGTACTACAAGTCTACCTTAGAGAGAACTAGGCAGAGAGACACAACAGTGAAACAAAGGTTGAATCAATCAATAAATATGTATTAAGCACCTACTATGTGTCAGGCACTAGCTAAGCTCTCGTGACACAAAAAGAGGCAAAAGACAGTCCCTGCACTCGAGGAGCTTACACTCTAATAGGGGAGATTCCCTTCTGGGAAGGGGGACACCTAGTTCAGGATCACTGTGCCCTGGCACCTCTACCAGGAAGATAAATCTGGTATACAGTAGAACTTTGTGGTGTGCTTGACTAGGCAAGTTGCCTTGAAAGTACATTGCAATAGGATATTCTAAGGTGAAGCTCTACAGAAAATATTTCAGTGTCTGCAGCATTTCATTGCTGAACTGATGGAAAGGATTTTATATGAAACTGTGAATCTCCACTATGTAGGGCCTGTTTGATTTTTTTTTTAAGTATACGATAAATTTAAAATGTAGCTTTCAAAGCCTTCCTGATGGCTGTGATACCTTCTGGGCTTTTTTCTGTTAACTTCCCTTTAGGGGAAGTGGGGGGAACCCTATCCATAGCCTTCCTATCCCTCTTACTTTCCTCCTCCCAAATGAAAAAAGAAAGAAAATTTAAGCTCATTTTATTTAGTGTTTTGCTAAATTCCAAATAAAATTAAGGGAGTTGGTGGGAATACACAGCCTCTGAGGTCCATTCTACCGCTAAAGTTATGTTCCTATCAACAAACAAACATTTCATTATACAAAGAACTCAAAAGATTACAATAGTAATAACTTACTGTTTGCTTATAGTAAAAAGAGTGAATTTCATCTAGAATTATTTGGCCACAAAGTATGAGAATGATGAAAACTACTTAGCTAATGCCTATACTTCTCTTTCTGCTCTAGAGGGCAGAGCTATTGCTGTAGACAACCTCAGCTGCTAACGCAACCATGACCTTCTGTTTTGTGGTTTATTTCATATTTCAAATTTAACATTGTAGTTCTAACACTGCCCTGCCTTTCTCTGTCCCCTTCTGAACTTCCTTAGGCATTTATCTGTTTATTCTTTAATCATCTGCAGATATTCTTTTCTTGTATTCTTTTGAAACAAATCACACAGTCAAACAAAACAGATCTCCACATTGGCCACTGCCTCTCCATCTGGAAGGGAGTAGCATTCTGTATCAATAGTACTGTACAGCTGAAGAAACTGAGGCCCAGAGAGGTAAATTGACTTGGCTAAGGAAAGTATTCAGAGGTAGGATTTCAATCCAGGCCCTATGATTCTGGAGACAATGCTCTGATTATTAAATTCATGAGACAGAGAGATAGATGGATAGATAGGCAGGCAGACAGATACATGAATAGATAGATTTGTGGATGGATAGATAAATAGATGGATGGACAAAGAGAGAGATGGATAGACAGATAGGTAGATAGATAGACAGACAGACAGACAGACAGATGGATAGATAGATAGATAAAGGTAGATAGATAGATAGATAGAGTAGATAGTAGATAAATGTTTGGCCATTAGCAATGAATATATACTACTACTCCATAATAAA